CTTGGGGTGCGAAGCTTTTCGATCCATCTTGGTCTCATCGGTCCCCGGCAAGCTTTATCACCGCTGCCTTCGAGAGGCACTCAAACCTCTCTTGATCGCCACTCAACCGCCTTTTCAAGCAGGTGTTGCGCCAGGCCAAGGAACCGAAGGCGTTGCCCTTGCTGTCCGGTCCTTCCTCGCTATGTGTCAAGGCGAGCGCGTTCCAGCCTCCCTCACTTTCTTCGACCTCCAGGCTGCCTTCTACCAGGTGCTTCGACAGGCTTTGGTGCCTCCACTGGACACTGATGAGGAACTGCTTAAGATCCTGCACGCGCTCGGCCTGCCTTCGGCCGCTGTTTCGGAGCTCAAGGACAAACTTTATGCCACGGCCCAACTCCCCCTACTTGGGGCCACTTCACATGCCGTAGCTGTTGTACAAGACCTTTTTAGAGGGACCTGGTTCCGACTGTCCGGCTTTTCTGCGCTTACCCTTACAAAGCGTGGATCTAGGCCTGGTGATCCCACCGCGGACCTCCTGTTTGGGTTCACAATGTCTGCCCTTGCCAAGTCGGTTCATACCTGCCTCGAGTCTCGCGGACTTCTACCCTCCGTTCCTTCTGCGAGCCACCGGCCTTGTTTCGTCGCCGAAAGCAGCTTCGCGCTCGGGCTGCCTTCTTGGGCGGACGACTTTGTCTCTCCCCAAACTGGCGCGTCTTGGGTCGACCTCATTGCCAGAACCTCCCAGGCTTTGACAGTTGTCGTTGACCTTGCCACCTCGGCCGGTATGACCATCAAGTGCGGCCGTGATAAGACTGCCGTCCTTTTTCCTCCTGCGGCATTGCGTTCTCCGGACACCTCCTTCTGTGAAGGCCCCGATGGACAGCGGTCATTGGCTTTGCGTAATAGCATTACACAGGAGGTTTTTGAGGTTCCCGTTGTCGAAGCCTATCGCCATCTCGGCGGCATTGTTACCTCCACCGGAACTCCCACGCCTGATCTCCACTTTCGCTTTGCGCAAGCCTTTGGCACTCTCCGGCCGTTGCGCCGTCGCCTTTTTGGCGCCAGAGAATTCCCGCTCCACACACGTGCATACCTGTTGCGTTCTTTGGTTGTCTCAAAGTTCGCGCACTCTGCTGCGGCATTGCTCCTGCCTTCTGCCTGCCAAATCCGAGTTTGGGAGCAGCACTACATGTCTTTATGGCGTGCACTCTTTCACCGCAGATCTGCCAGCGCTCAGCTCCATAGCTTCCGGGTCTTGCATGAAGCACATGCCCTGCCTCCCCATCTCGCCCTTGCTCAGGCCAGGGCCGGCTTTCTCAAAAGGGTCCACCTGCATGGCCCTAGTGAGCTTCTCTTGCTGCTTTGGGATCACTGGGCTGTCCACCCAGCGTCTTCTTGGTACAAACAGGTACTGTCAGATGTTGGACATGTTTCGCAATATGTCCCCTCTGTCCGTAACCTCCTGTCCACCGGTGACACTGTCGCTGCTTTGCTGGAATCTTTTGCTGAGGATCCGTTTTGGTGGCCAAGACAGATTAAAGCAGCCTCTCGTGCCTTCTTTGAGGATGTCGCCAAGTGGGTCACTGAGCGACACCTTGGTGCATGTTCCGCACCGCCGTGTGCTGTCCTTGCTGGGGCG